AATCCTAGAAATAAATTCTAAATTTACCTGTTTGCACTAAACAGAACGTGTGAAAGACTAAAAACTTTTTGGTGCAGCTGTGGTTGTGAGTGACTCAGCTGCAAGCTACAGTCGTGACAAAAATTCAGGAACTTTTCAACTAAACTGGATTGAACTGCAGGCTGTGTTTACAGAGCAGGTAGGATACAAGTATAGAAGAAAATAAAAGAGGTAAAATATCTAAAATATGTAGGGCTTTTTTTCTTGGTAAACAATATGGAAACATGCTAAACATGTTGATTCCAAGGACACCTTGGATCTTTCTGTGTGGAGTTTGCATGTTCTCCCCGTGCAGCGTGGATTCTCTCTGGGTTCTCCAGCTTCCTCCCACACAGTCCAAAAACATGTTGAGGTTAATTGGTGACTCTAAATTGTCCGTAGGTGTGAATGTGAGTGTGCTTGGTTGTCTGTCTCTAAGTGTAGCCCTGTGATAGACCGGTGACCGGTCCAGGGTGTCTCCTGCCTTCACCTTAAGTCAGCTGGGATAGACTCCAGCCCCCTGCGACCCTAATGAGGATGAAGTGGTGGATAGATCATGGATGGATGGATGGATTTTGATTCCATTTCTTCTTCAAATGAAAAGCAGTAGAAATTCAACTCTTTTTTTTTTCATTTTTAAGTATTTGTGGTGTTATAAGACATTTTTGAGTTCTCTATGCTTCTAGCTATGGTTGTGCTGTTTCCATAGAGGTACAGGACTTTATATTGGAGTGAAAAATGAGCCCAGAGTGAGTAAAACCATGACAGGAGGAAGATGGACTTAATGCTGGTACACATGAGAGACAAAGGCCACATCACAGCTGAACTCACATCATGCATGTGTCAAATGAAGAGCTACAGGGTGTTATATTTAAAAATGTCGTCCTCTTTTTGTTTGAAGTCATCTGCAGTCATATTTTTACTGTCAATCTTTTTACAACAAGTGTGTGAGAGAAAACTGCAAAGTTATGAGAGAATCCTCTGTTGGGTCAATCAAGAGTCTCTGTCCGGTGTCTTTCTACTACAAAGCCTGAATCTGTAACCCAACTACACCCACATGCTTCCCGTAAAGTTGCTAAAAGGAGTCTGTAAACTAGTAACATTAATTGCTGTTACAGAAACCTCCCTCCCAGTGAAGCATCCCCCCATTTCACACACAAATACACACACACTCGCACACACCCCAGCCTGGCCTCTCTGTTGTTGTTTCATTGGTCGGTCACTTGCCAGGGCCCCAGGGGTCCCAACTCAGAACACATGTCTGCTTTCTGTATGTTTACAGTACAGCAGTCAGAGTGAATGAACGTTACGGCTATCAAAGCATACTTGTCTATTTTCTGGACAGTGTCACCAAAAGGAGACAATGCCTTTACGCAACGTAAACATGAAATATACTTATAATACGTCTGAAATGAAACACATTTGAGAAGTAAAAAAAAAAAACAAAACAAACAAAAAAACCACCCGCTCTCGAGCTGTCACGCGACCACCTGCAGGAAGCAGACCACGACCGTGCTCGCACTTTGCATGTTTGTCATCACAGGCGGTGATAACTCTGCAGATATTTAAGTGGCTGCAACAGATGCAGTCAAGCTGTGACTGACAAGTGTTTGGCGGCTGGAGGCCTTGAAATAAAGTGCAACATCAGCCAATAAACTCAATTTATGAGGCAACATGGATGAGAATGTCCTTAAAGTGCTCAGAAAATGGAAAATGTGAACATCTACATTGCAGTGTCAGCTAATTGCAATTATGTGACCTGCCTTAAAGGTGCAGCATAGTCACTAAAATAGAGCTTGAAGTGAGAGGTTTCTGTCAAATTCACTGATTTGCTTGAACATATACGGGAACTGGCCATTTGCTGTGGAAAACATGTCCTCAAAGAATATCTTAATCCTTGAGAATAAAGTTTTAAATCGGGATGCTCATTCATTTGGTCCGTCAAACCGCTGAATGTTCTTGCTCTCTGTGCCAATGCTTGGCCTTTTGTGCTGCATTCATGTAAAGTAGTAAATATGCATTACACATTTAAAAACAACACATTTTTCTTCACTTTTCAGCAAGCCAATTAAGTTGAAATCAAAATGAATTATTGTTAAAGGATACTCCAAACCTAATTCCGTTTGGGAGTTTTGGGTTTGAGGTGCCAACTTTAAGTAGGTTTTGAAGAAAAAGAAAGAAATTAGCTCAGTCTCCACTCGTAGGTCTACCTCAATGGATGGATTCTTCTCTGCTGTCAAGGAGATAACTGAGGAATTCCTTGGAAATAACTTCCAACAGCTAATTGGATACCTCCTAATTGCCAGCTTTTGGTTTAAGGATCCGTACGCAGGTTTTTCCCATACGACCTGAACGCAGCATCAGTAGGCAGCGGTGACGCACACGCTATTACAAGCCTGTGGTCCACTGCAGCACACTGATTGGGCCAAATCGAGGGTGTGTGGACAGCGTGGGCAGTTTTTAACAGACGTGAATTGAGCTGGAGATTCCAGTTTGTGGTGTAGGCACAACTGGACACGCACCAAGCCCATCTCCAGACGCGTGCCACGGTGCGCTACACCCTCCTGATGGAAATCCAATGGACTTTGAAAATACTGCTGTATTGCAATTTCCGTTCCGTGCTCATCAAAGCTTAGGCCAATTTGTGACACAGAGGCTGGAACTTTTTTTTTTTTTTTTTTTTTTTGGTGGCAGAGCAAAGTCTATAGAGATGGTATATTACATGTATTTATTTAAGTTGAACGCCTTTATTTCATTATAACATAAAAACTAATCTTTCTGTGAGAGTGATATAAACACAGGAGACAAAATAGGACAAGATCATCATAAATTCATGACAGTAAAAGCCTACCACATTCCCCATAAGAATATAATGGGAATATTGAAATGTTGAGGTTTGCTGTGCTGCATCATCTCCTGGCCAAAATACCTCCCATTTCTCAGCTGTGGTGACTTCTCCAAAAACTCATTCCGCTGACTAAAAAACCTCAATTAAAACGATAGATACTGCCGTCTCAAGATAATAATTATCTATATTTAGAGCTATAAGTGATCATCATTTTGGTTAGGTTAGAGCAGGAGTCCAATTCCCGCTCTAGGCTAATTTTCATTGATGGTCTAAATATAGCCTGGGTTTTAAAGTTTTTCCAGCAGACAGAGCCAGAGCTTCCCATGAAAAGGATTTTATGAAAATAAATGAAATGTTATGATAAACAGATTTCAAAAGTCACAGATCTATGAAATTCAGGGCGGCCACAATCAGAGGCCTGTTTGTCTGTCTCTTCCTCCGTCTTGTGTTTTTTTTTTTTTTCCTCTTTTTTCTCACACACACACACACACACACACACACAACCGCCAATCGTTTCCCCATGTTCGTTTATGGGGCGCCTGAACAGTGGCGTAATGTATTTGTCTTGGGGGTCTGGGTCTTAGTCGGGCCTTTTACCCCCTTCAGCTCATCACACGCAGACGCTGAAGCGCCTCCTCTGTTGTACTGAGACGGAGGCTGAAGTTTGTTTCGCTCCCTGAGAGTTTTAACAGTAAACCGCCAGCTGTGGTTTTGGGAGTTTGCATATCATGTCAACAAGTTTTCTTGAGGTGCTCCCACAATCCAAGGACATGCAGGTTGGGTTAGGAGGAAACGGCCTGTAGCTGTGGATGCGAATATATTAGAGTGTCTCGAGTGAGGCCTGTTGATAACCTACAGGTTTGGGATGTTGGGTTGCTCTAATTAAGATTAGGAGGGAACAATTAGTATCAGTGGGCCCCCTACAGGCTTGAAAGTGCACTTCCCCACCCCTGCACAAGCTGACAGCCACTTCATGATGCCATTTCTTGTCCACAGCTGCAACACGGGTGACGCAGCAGCGTGCCCGGCTTCCATGGCACCGCCGCCTCCCGTACAGGCCTTTACCTGAGGAGTAGTAACACCATTAGGTCATTGGAAACATTTCGAAGACAGAGACTTTATGTTCCTTCTCGCAGGCTCATTCAGCTCGCAGTTATTCCACATGGCATCCTCAAGTGTTGCTCTTGAAAAAGATTCCTCCAGCGTCTCCAAATGTGCAGCCCTGCCAATGTTTGTCCTCTATTCTTAGATCACTCCCTGTAGTAGTGGTTAGCAGACCTCATTGTCACAGACTAAACTGGGCATTGTGTAACAGACCTCCTCGTATTTACTTCCCCATAAAAAGTTAGTTAAAGGCGTTCTATTTATAGGAGCTTCACTTGTAAGTAAACAGTTTTTATAGGGTGAAATCAATACAATATTAATAGATCGTGACATAAAGCCCTGTCATCCTGTTGTCCGTTTGTGATTATCAGCAGAACACCGATTGCAAGAATGTACTGTGGAGATTTTGTGTGAGTGCTACAGATGACAATCATAGATCCACAAACTCTCAGCTTTTTTTTTTTCTACTTCAACATCACACACTTTAGTTTTCTCCAGTATGCTGCCAGGCTTCTTGATCCTCCCCCCTCTGCTCTCACAGATAGCCCTGTATCCTAAATGAGTGCTCAAGTTTTATGGCAAAAACAGACATTCTTGACTTTTCACTGCTGCATCTCCAACAACATCAAAAAAAAAAAAGTTATCTTACTATGTTTGCAAATGACACGAGCCAGTGGAAGATTGTTAAATGACTTATTGGAGGATATATTGGATATTATATTACTGACTTTTTCTTTTTTTTTCTTTTCTTTTTTTTTGTTGCAGATTTGGTTTTTGAAACCCTGCTTGATCACCCACAAATGTCACAGTCAACTTTCCTCATGAGCATTGCTTTACGGGGCCAGTTTTATGGCAAAAAGGGGACTTTCACTGGACACTCCCCTAAAACCTTGGACGTGGATTTCTGCGTCTCTGATTGGTTGTGAAGCCCCGACCGACAACACCTGCTTAACTCCTTCATCCAAATTGACACCCGGGGCTCTGAGAAATATAGGCAGCATCCCTTCCAGCTCATGCGTTCAGTCCCACAGCTGCCCCGTAAGATACCGAAGCCGCAGCTGCGCTGATCACTGATCCAAGGTGAACCTTCACGCAACACACGCCTGCCGGATCTTTGCTGGGAATAGAGAAGCGCGCTGGTTTCGGAGACGCAATGTTGGTCAAACTGGCCGTGGCGCTGCTGGTTTTGTCAGTGCTGGAGCAAGTAGTGGTATCGGATAATATTGATATTCACGACAGTCCCCCGGAGAAGCCTGCGAGCCAGAAAGGACGCCTCTCCCTGCAGAACACAGGTAGGAAACAGAAATGTTCACAGAGATCAGATGTATTTTTTTATTTTTTATTTTTTTTTATTTTTGTCTGGGGTGTTTCTCGGTTGCAGATCTACGTGGGGTTTGTTCCCGGACACGTGTTTTCTGTGGCTGCGAATTAAACCATGCAGGTGACACGGTTGGGCGATTTGAGAAATCCCCCCGTTTTTTGAACTGAAAGCCGGGCGTTTTTTTTTCTCCTTCTTCACACGAGTGACGCTCTTCGATCACTGCGAAAGGCGATATTTTGTAAATACTCTCAGACAGAAATCCAATATGTTAGTAAACTATTAATAGAATGGCACAAGGTAATAGGTAATGTATACGGCAGCACGTCTAGGTGTGCGGGCGCGCTGCTGAGCGTGTGTGCGCGGGTTATAGGTGACTGTTTCACCGGTTATCTGGGAGGAAGAAGAAAAAAAAAATCTCTTTGCATGTGCTGTGAAATGAATGTTGCTTGATGCGTTCAAGCAGGTTAGTGGAGCAGCGGATGAGCGGAGTAGTGTGGTGGTGGTGAGCCAAGTTAATTTACAAGCGCCGATCCTGTGAGGAAATAGCGCTTAAATATGATTAAAAGACACGTGTGGCTACGCGTAATTTGCGCACCACGTTGAATTCTCCCTCCCCACCCCCCCAGTAACTTAGTGGCGTATTCTGGCTGATTTATCCAGCATGCCACCCAACCATGTGAACCTGCGTTTTTTTTCAAAAAGAATATCACAGCAGATCTTTATTCCACATCGAAAAAATGGGGACAAACTCCAATGCAGGTTTCGCAGCAGAGACCCTGGTAACACCACTGTGTAATTCAATGCACGTTGCGGCCAAGCTCGTACGATCCAAGCACATTCCCGTGATGCCAAAACAAGCACTGCTGACAGCGGCTCACTTTTCCTGCGCACTAAAGTTCAACTCGGTGCCTACAAACCCCCGCAGCAGCGGCAGCAGCAGCAGCGGCAGCAGCAGCTCGTCCCCCCTCGTCCTCCCCCTCCTCACACACACACACACACACACTTCCACCACCCCCCTACTACTGCCCCCCAAACAGAGGCTCTTTGTTGACAAGCGTGATTTCTAATAAGTCACATTTAATCCTTTATTTGCTGTGCTCAAGACAAAAAGTCTCCTTTTACGCAACTGGTGCGCAATTCCGACAATGTTCTCACGCCCATCAGTTATCAGCTCCAAGACAAATCACGCGTGTAATTGTGTTTTACTTAGGTCAACAGTTGGGGTTTTCATAGCCAAACTGTAACTCTATATGGTGTCTTGGCTCCCAGCCTAACCTGCAATTTGCCATATTCATTTAAAATTAAAACACTCGAGAGGATGTCACATAAGGAAGCTGTGGCAGGTTTCTCTCTCTCCTTTCTTGTCTTTTTTAAAAAAAAAGCATTTCTGCACCAATAAAATGTTTCATTCTTGTATTTAATGCTAAAAAGCAAAGGGGTGCTTGAGGGCCAGCCGGTGTTGTACAGGAGACATCCACATGACATGTACTTGCATATTTCCCTTTGAATTTTTGCCTGCATTGCTGCTGTTGCACTCCTCACAAAGCTAATGTTGCAGCTTTTAATATTGCATTTTCAGTATGCAATCTCAGTCAGCCTCCAAATGCAGTAATTAGAGACTTGTTGATACACATTTAGTTAACAGACGTTGACTGAAATGACTGCATTTGGCTGTATCTGCAATGCACCATCCCATCTCAATGCTAGGCAGTGCAGATGGATTGTGGTGCAGAATGACACAGTAATATCTGTCACCAAGTGTTCCTCTGCAGGAACCCCCTCAGCTTTGGGAAATTAGACTTCTCCCCACTCCCCCACTCCGCTGCGTCCTTTTTCTCTCTCAGACTCCGGGTCATGAGCACACGAACGACCGCCTGCGTCTGTGGAAATAGTTATACGCCACATCAGCTTTGTGATTCGTGCAGCAATCGGTGCTGAAGTGGAGTTGTGCCTCCAAGCTGTATGGTCTTCATTGCCAACACGCCTGTAACAATCTGTACGCTGTCTCTGCTGTGAACAGATGATAAGGTCCCTCCCCTAACCTGTTCTCTATTTCCAGCTGAGATCCAGCACTGCCTGGTGAGTGCAGGGGATGTCGGCTGTGGTGTGTTTGAGTGCTTTGAGAATAACTCCTGCGAGATACGAGGGCTACAGGAAATCTGCATGACGTTCCTGCACAACGCTGGCAAATTTGACTCTCAGGTACTAAACTATTCTGTCTGTTTGCAAAAATGGTATAACCAGAGGCAACATTCCTCCTCCTCCTTTTCATCGGTTCACTGCTCCACACTCGTCATTTTTCTGCATACCTCAAAACATATCAGTTAGGTTTTTTTTTTTCTTAGGAGTGCGATCATCCATGCACTTATCTAATAATCTCTTTTCCTTTCTTGGGAAGTTCACTTGCCTCTCAGTGGACTGATGTGTGTACAGTTAGGACCAAGGGTCATGAGCCAGCTGGCCAGAAGCCCAGTTAGCTCCCTTTTCATACATAGCGGAGGTTGAAGCCCTGCCAAGCCAGGCTTCACTGGGGTGTTAATATGTCTATAGGGTCACTTACTAGGAATTTAACATCTTTGGCAGATGAATCCAGAAGACTTCACCAGAAGAATGGCACAATTTGACTATTCATGCAGGATTTAATTCTCCCATTTCGTTATAAGAAGCGTATACATTTATATATAACACAGCCAGGCCTACACTTCTAAACTGCTAAAACAGGTGCATGGCATCTCTAAAGTACCAAAACTATCATACATAGGTATATACATCAACAACACGTGGATCTAGTGTACCTTCTTGTTCTTTAAAAGACGTGTTAGTCCTCAGCACTTTAAGAGTCTTTGTCTTTGTGTGCACACAGGGGAAGTCCTTCATCAAGGATGCTTTGAAATGTATGGCACACGGTTTACGGCACAAGTTCAGCTGCATCAGCAGAAAATGTGTGTCCATTAAGGAGATGGTGTTCCAGCTCCAGAGAGAGTGCTACATCAAGCACAACCTGTGCTCTGCTGCTAAAGAGAACGTGGCTGTCATGGTGGAGATGATCCATTTCCAAGATCTGTTCCCTAAAGGGTAAGCGACTGGTGTGGACAACCTTTAAATATGTATTTTCCTTCGCCTGTCCCCATTTATTCTTGTCATTTTCCAGACCTTGATGTGTTGTACATTAAATCACAGGATTCATGTGAGTAATCCGCCTCTCTCTGCCCAGTCCATATGTGGAGCTGGTGAATATCCTCCTGAGCTGCGGAGAGGAGGTGAAGGAGGCCCTGACGAGGAGCGTCCGGCTACAGTGCGAGCAGAACTGGGGGGCTCTGTGCGACAGCCTCAGCCTGTGCTCCTCGCTCGCCCCGTCTCCCGCCAGCTCCCCCGTCGAACACCACCGCCACGCCTTGCCTTCCCACCCTGAGCCGGAGCACCCTCGCCCTCCACGGCAAGGCGACAAGGACAAAGCTGGTAAGGCGGGCTTCAACGGTCACCCACGCAACCGCAGTCAGGGACCCCGCCGCCACGGTCCGGAAGTCGGAGTGGTGGCCGAGCAGGAAGACCCCAAGGCCACCGACATCCGGAGGTGAAAGCTCAGGAGACTATACTGACCTTTGACCCCTTACACCGTTTAAAAGCCACACTTGCAGACTTATGCACACAATGACACATCCTCACACACGCATACACACAAACACACATTTGTCCACACATACACAATTTCCCAGACAGACTGAGCAGAAGGAAACAAGCCCTGACCTTTATTCCTTATTCCACCCTCTCCAGTCATTCCAGCAGTCCCACATGGTAAACTTGCAGGGTAATTGTGGTGTAGCTTGTACTGTTATGCCAGACTGTAGGCCACAATTTTTATTTTTTAAATTGAATAACAATTGTTATTATCATGATTATTTCAACTGTTAGGACAATTTTGGCTCTAATATAGCATTTCTCAAATCATACTTACTGTAAGATTTGATTATATTTGTATTATTTATTTTATTCTTTATGCAATGTTGAAATATCAAAATGTACATAGAAATATACTTATCTATATTTATATAAACATGTATAAATATAGTTACAATATGCAATACTGATATACTATAGATGACATAGTATATGGTGTGCCGTCTGTTGTTCTCTTCACAGTATTGCACCCATCACACATTGGTCTGTAGATATGTAACATACACCATTTGCTGTTTCAAAGTGGGAATATGTATTATAACTATAGATACTTGATGATTAAATACAAATTGTACAGGTTTTAAGTCCAGTTCTGGCACATATGAATTTTAGTGCATGATGGCCATAAAGCCAACAAACTTGTGCATTCTTAAAGTGAAAATCCACTCTAAAGAGGATGCAAATGTAATACTATGAATATGAACAGTTATTTCACACTTGTATTGTATTGATAAGTCTCTTGCAAAGCTAGAAATAAGAGAGCCAAGACTGATCTTTGATGTCATCCAGTGCTGCTGTCTGGGCAGCGGTGAATGGAAACGAGCATAGCAGCCGCAGTTTTACGGACTCTTTTCTGTTTCGTAAGTTTTAGTTATACTCAGACATGTGTCTTATTTTAATGCAAAAAAAAAAAAGAAAAGTATCACATCACTCTCAATGTTAATAGAGCTTCAGAAACTGTGTCTCGGAGACATTACGGATCAATGTCGTGTGTATAGCTTCAGGAGACATTGCTCTTGTTCACGAATAGTAACTGAACTGTCAAATGTAATGCGTTCTCTTTGTTTTCCATCTAGCTATCAGTGAAGTGCAGCGATAAGAGAGGATGTTGAATTTCAAATGTAAAAAAAAAAAAAATCACAAACATCAAGGTGCCTAAACTTGTTAAATGTTCACAGTGACCGCTTCTCTGTGATTTAAGTGAATGGATGATACTGTGTCACGGCGAGATTTGATGTTGAACCTATTTTGCGATGGTGTTGAGCCACAAAAGTCTTAGATTTTGCACTTTGGGTGATTGTCAGTTTGTGTTCGACTGCTGCATCTTGAGAAATAAGACCACATTAACAAAGTAGTCACCCTCTAATCAGAGGCTATTTCATTTGAACAACCTGGTTTTCCTTATCAAAGACAAATCCTGCATCCCCACATGCTCCTTAGGACCAGATTGAGCCCCTTCTTTAGTGGAGCCATGCTACATTTTCTACCTTTGTGTCCCAGGAGGCAGGAAAGAGGCTTGACAGAAACCCTCCAGATCTCTAGCCTCTAAATTAGCCCTTATTCCTCTCTGGTCCCTTACCTAGGTCAGACATGAAGGCCTGTTATTCTGCCCGTTAGAGCCGCAGGCAACACAGCGAGGACCCAGGAACTGGGTTAAGTCCACACACGGGGGCTCTGGCGCTGTTATTCTAAATGTTATATTTACCGAGGCCACCAGAGAATTCCTCTGGGCCACAGCCAAGAGCCAGCAACTAGCAGAGACGAGTGGAGCAAGAAGGAGAGAGACGTGCTCAACGTCTTTTTTTATTTTTATTTTTTTAATGTGATGATTCACTCTGTCTTTACTTCTCCTTGTACTCTTCTTCTTCTTCTTCTTCTCCTTCTTCTTCTTCTCTTCCTCCTTTAGGTCACAGACACAGGCTTTTGACCATTTCAGGCCAGTCACATGCTTCAGTTGTGGAAGTGCAGTTTATGAGCACCACATGCTGAGGAGTGCTTGGTGCAAAAAGAATATAAAACATGCTCAGATTTTGTGGCTCAGTTAAGGGTTTTCACTTTATTTTTTTTCCTGATATACTTACAGTAAGGTAAAGTTTTTTCCTCCCAGTCATTTAGAGACTATTATAAGTGAGGCTTTCAGGCTTGTATTTTATTTTTTTATTCTGTTGTGGAAGTTGGGATTCCTGTGACATCCCGGCACAAGACATAAGCTAATCCTATTGAGAATGTACTGTATGTGTGTAAAGTGACAATCTGTTAAGCTCTCTGTCATTAGGTTTGATATGGCTTTTTGTAATAATGTAGTTGGTTGAATGGCTTTTTCTGTATGTGTTCGCAGGAAAATAAAACTAACCATGTTTCCTGTATTGTTAGAGCTCCATCACCACATTACTTGTTTTCTTCTGTCAAGCACAAGGACTCCACTGCTTCAAAATACAGAACATCGTCTAGAAGTTTGTAACTCACTTGTAAGACGTCGGGCATATTGACTCCATCAATATCTTTGGACTCCTGAAGTCAGATGTATCTTGTTATCATTAAAGTATTTTTGTCTGTATTTTGTACATTTTGTGTCTTTCAAGATAGTTTTTTTGTTAACGTTCGCGTAAAACATCGACACTTTCAGAGGCGAAACAACCACCCGGCCCTGAGCAGGTTAGCAGAGAAGGCCTCGGCGTCTCAGGTGTACACGCAGGTTAAAAGACACCCTATTCTCGTTTGACTTGCCGCCTCCTTTCTGACAGTGAAATACGGGCTGTGTTTAAAGTTTCAAGGACTGGAAATATCCTCCCTATTGAAAAGCCTAAACATTTACGTCAGCAGCTCTGGATTGTGTGCAATGCTGGGGGTGGGTTCAGGGTGTCAGTTTTTATGAGTTTTCCCAACAGTGTACATTGCCTCACCAAACATTTAGACAGTGCTCTAATTTGAAAGGTAGACTTCCAACTGTTGTCTTGGGGGTGCTCAAAGTCATGCTCGAGTCAGGTTCGGTCTCCTGGGGTGCGTTTGGAGGCCATATATGGGAGTTTGTCACGTAAATTCTGCCCTCTGTTTTTTTTTTTTTTCTAGTTTGTCTACAGTGTGACAGGGATGGAAGGATGGCTGCATGCCATGTCATAACATACCACAGAGCTTCTGTAATATCAGCACCTCTGCAGTTCAGTGTGATTCTGCCTTGCAGGGCCTGTCACTGTGCAATCTTTGAATGCGTAGTGACGCCAAACCACCACTGGGTGGCGACATCTCTTTGCCTATTGACATGCAAAGCAGATGGTGGAAGCAGGTGCAGGTATTTGATTTATTTTAAAAATTGGGGTCAGTTACGTTTTCTAGATTAAAGCTACAAAATCTTTTAAACCTAACTTGAGTGTAGGTAAAGTGACTCCATAGTGTATTAACTTCCAGATATCCTTCTTTATCTCAAAAGAAGTGCACAAAAAACAGCATGCCTCCTTAAGATCTGTTTATTCATTACAAGGAGAGCTACAAAGCCTGTGAAAACAAGGCTTTGTATTACAGCTGTACACAGATTCTTCTGTAGGCTATGACATTGCTTTCCAAAGTATTCAAAAAACTCACCCTGGTGTCCTCAGGGTTGTCTCAGTTGGGACTTGAGACTTTGATTTTTATTTTTTAAATAGTTTTGCTTTACAAGCTTGGGTTGTGGACTGTGAAAGAAGTCAGCATTTAGGAGGCTGGGAAGGTCTAACAAAAGATGCCTTTGAGATACATTCTGGGAAAGTTGGATTTTGTTTTTAGTTTGACGTACATTAGAGACTAGACGTCAAGATAATTCATTCTGTACTGTGTTAATTTTTTCTCTTCTTTATGTAATTCCCCTATTTTAAGTCATGACACCATCCCTTTAATCTGATTCTCTAGTATCTATTTGATACATAGCAAAGATTCAATCTTGGGCAGTGTTGCGTGTTCTGACAGAAAAGGCTCCACCTAAATTAATTCATCTTACTCCATTTACAGTCAATGTATCTTTATGTTCAGAGCTAATTTCTAAATATGTTGCCATTGTTATCACTCATGTACACAGTGTATATATTTTCAGCTTTAATTGCATGTATGGCATGTGAAATATGTTTATCTCAACAGTGTGCTGTACATTGTTCGTCAGGGAGCTGACCAGCAAGGCCACAGTGTGGTGTGATAGAGACTCTGCATGGGAACACGGTGTGTGGGAGAAATTATGCTGTGTCACACTCAGGTTCTTACAACAATACTTTGAGTCTGAGATAGATGACCTCCTGGTCAAACAATGGGGCTGCTGGCTGGACCAGAAATCTCCCAGCTTACGTGGCTGATATGGCAACAGAGCTCTATCAACATGGAGGCAGCCAATATCCCATGTGAGCAGCAGCAGCAGCAGCAGAGACAGGCTGTGCCTCCGAGCAGAGAAACCTGAGCCCGTCGGCCCCAGGCGCATTGTGAACGTCTGCCCTGTGCTCCAGTGTGACCTAATGAATTAATGACTGGGTGCCTAAGTTTCATGGATGAATCATTTAAGAACCATTTGGGGTGAAAGCGTGCACCCCACTTTTGTCTTCTGTCAGGCCTCAAGAACACAGATGTCCTACATTCACCTAAAGCTGGCACGACAGTACTTGTATACGCCGCGTATCATCCAATCATGTCTACCTGCTTAGCTGCATAAACTGAGTTGAACCTCTGCAGCACAGCGTACTCTCACCAGGGAATAGAGAGTGTTGCTCTCAGGGAAGGAAAAGAAAAATGCTGACACAACTCACTATGCTTGACAGCCTCAAAAGGCTTAAAGCAGACAGCAGCACAGAGAGCGGAACGCACATTCAGACTCACAAATACACACCGTGCCACAGCTTCCTCGCTCGGTTGGCAGAGAATATTAAAGCAGTAACACCTGGACCAGCTGTCTATTAATTTTTACAAGAAACCAGAAGTTCAAGATCCACGGTTGTGTTGTTAAACCACCCCAACAGGCCCTGCAGCACATGGCAGTGGGGTGGGGTGATATGTGCTGCTGCTCCTACAGGATACAAATGAAGGGTGGGTCTGCCTTGGGGGACTGGAACACTGTGTTAACAAGACAAACTCAACAAGTAAATAATCCTCTCAACACTTGGGTGGAAAGTGAGTGAAATTGAGTAGATTTTCTGCTACTTCTGAGTACATTCTAAAACCAGTAAGTCTGCTTTTATGTTATGCTTTCATTGTTTTAAGCAAAAACAATCTCCCTATATTGTACTGTAGTATCCTTAATACACAATCATGACAATATTCTATTTAAGCTTTCTTTAAACCGCCTTTCCTCAATAAAGCAACCTTTGCTTTCCGAGTCAAAATGGCTGCTAAGCTGCTGTACGTGCATGCTTCTAATGAGCCTGTGTTGGTTGAGTAGCTTTAAACGCAAGTAATTTTACTCCCACTTGAGTAATGTATACTGTGGGTAGCAAGAGTAATGCTTCTGAGCAGGATAATCTTTCATCTCCTGGTGAATGAATGACCTGTAAGTTGTTAATGAATCCGCAAAGTGACGCTTTGGCTTGCAGGTAGACAGGAGGCTGACTGTCATTCTGTGTTCCACTAAGTGAAGGTATGATATGATGGTATGATCGGAGCAGATCTCACTAAAGTACAATGAATCAAGCTCTCAAGCTCGATTACGTTCTGAAAATAGCAGCAGCTTATTTTAATGAGATTGCTATGCAGTACTTTGCTGTGGATCCGGGTTATAGCAGTTCAACAAAATCCACCCATCACTCCACCCATCTATCTATCTATCTGTCTGTCTGTCTAAAGTGATAAAATACATTGCTTTTCAGGGCCTGTCTCATACACCAGTATTGCATGCCTGGAAACTGGTGGGGTGGAGGGAGAGAAAAACATTTGCTTAGCCAAATGAACTCATCTGCATTTGAAATAAGTGGTTGCAAATTCTAGAAGTTAGCTTTCAAAGCTTTGAAAACCATTGGCTGACAGTATTCTTACTAAAACATAGATATTTTTAGTCTTGGTTAAAGGTTTAGACAGAAATTTACTTAGATCATTAAAGCATTTTCCCTACAACAACTCCTCCCATTGATTTCAAGACATCCTTATTTGGGAGGAGAACGTCTTGAGTGCATCTGCCATTCATTGAGAAGGAGCACGGTGGGCGTGCATTCAGAACAATTATCCAATCACAAATTGGATTTTAGTTTAACGGGGCGGGGCGCTGAAGGGAAATCCTGCCTCTCATTGGCTGGCTGCTGGTGGCGGGGGCGGGGCTTGTAGACGGAAGTGTCTCCCGACTGGCCCAGCTGTCATCTAGAAGAGAGAGGAGACCATTTACACCGGCTGCCTGGGAAATGCAGAAAAAGGAAAAAATATGGCAACATCCAAATGATAAGGTCATGACGCCGAACTGAAGGTAGCTATGCCCGACACGCCGCCGAACACACACGTTTGTCGACGCTTTCAAAGGGCCGTCGAGTGCGCGTTGGCTTATTTCGACATGTAAAAATGATGACAAGGATTGGTAGGCTGTGTGACATTGAACATACAGGACACGAAACAGACGAGGTCGTTTAAAGAGCCACACACCATTTCCAACTTGGAAATTTCTGCCGCTGCCAACGGTGTCGCGTACGAACATTTGAAGCTACGTTTGAGTCGCTGAATCGGTTTATTGCCTCCTAGCTGGTTTGCGAATATGCTCCAACGGCTCTGCGGCTGTCGGCTATTATGCTAGCGCTAGCGGGCTCGGTGAAGGGAACTACCCTAGATTCAGAACAGACAGGAGACGTCATCAACATTTTCCTGTATTTAAATGGTTGCGTATGAGGAGGTCATTGCTGGAAAAGGAAGATTAATCGGTAGGTGTACATGCTGTAACCCTCCGCTGCGCTTGTGCGTTCACGTTTGCGCTGTAATGCGTAAAGGTGCTTAAAAATGTTGCCTGTTCGGATCTACATGATTAATAGGGCACATGGAAGGTGGCGGAGCAGCTGTTAGCTCGCTGCTAGCTGCGTAACGACCTTTGGAGACGTCAGCTCCACCAGCTCAGCCTGTTAGCTGCCTGCGCTGCTTAAAGCTGGGTGTTTTCCGTGGTTGTCTGCCTGCTATAGTGTTATATTTCATCCAGGCCTCCCATAGCCAAGCGAATGATTTAATCTCATTGATTGCATCACAAGACCAGGCAGGGTGCAGCCCGAGCACATTCACTGCGTTTTTGTGTGTGTGTGTCTGTGTGTGTGTTTGTGTGTGTGTGTGTGGCAGGATCAACTTAAGGTGTAACAGCTTTTTTTTTTTTTTTATTGTCGTCACTCCTTTCTCTCTTTTTTTTCCTGCCTCACCTCAACCCACATTTTAGGATAAAGAAAGCCAAAAGTGAACTGAAGATTTACTGGGTGTCCTAAATGGGGGACTACGGGTTTGGAGTTCTGGTGAAGAACGGCAGTGGTAACAAATCTGCTTTCCCTGTAAGGATCCCTCCTCACCTTCAACCCCAGCACCCTCACCACCCCTCCAACCCCCCCAGCCCCCCTGCCTGTCTAAACAACACCTGCTCCACCAATGGGGGCAGTGC